CTCTCTCTCTCGATTTCTGTTTCTCTCTCTCTTTCTCTCGAACTCTCCGCTACTCTCCATTCCGCACTCCGGCTCGACTCGCCCGGTTTGTCGTCGCTGCTTCCTGCCGTTCCGCCGCTCCTCGCCGTTGCTGCGGTAGCCCTCGGGCCCTGCGTTCGCCGTGCCCTGCCCTGCCTTGCCCTACCTTACCCTGCCTTGCCTCGTCTTGCCTCATCTTGCCTTGCCTTGCTTTACATTGCCCCGCGATGCTCGCCTGTGCTCTCTCAGCCTGCACCGCCGATTCGTCCGCGTCTCGTTTTCTCGTCCATTATTACGGTTGCTTTGCCTACGCCTCGCTCTCGCCCTGGTCTCCCCGCGCACGTACACACCGCGCCGTCGTGAGGGAATTCAGGACCCGATACTGTGTGTCCCGATCGACGTCAAGGACGCGTCCTGCTCTTCGTTGTAGTCGCCGGTCTCTCGAAGGCGCGCCGACCTTCTTCCGACTAAACGCGCTGGCGACACATGTTTTTGCCCACGTCGTGTTTTACGTTTGTGTGCGCCGTTAGAACTGGAAAGAGTTCGAAAAATGAGGATGGCGAACGGTCTCGGCATAATAGTTCGAGATGTATTAGAGATCGATCGCCGTTATAAACGGGTATTGCGGCGCGCGCGCGTAATTTTCAGCTTCGTTGCGGTTGCGGCTGGTTAAAACGTACAGCGGGTTCCGTTAAATCTCCACTATCGTATCCGCGAAACCGCGACAAAGCGCGTCGCGCCCCTGAATGTCGCGCTCGCGTGTACCCGTGACATATTGAAAAATAAAGGGCGCGAGCTGTAATTACCGTTCTGTTTTTAATAACCGCCGTGTGTATGTATATATGTGTTGCTCCTGAACGCCAGAGAGAGTTTGTCATCCCTCATTGACTTGTTTACCATCAATTACTGCCTCTTTGTCGTAATGTAGATGACGCGTCACGTTAATATCATCCACGGTGTCTCTTTCTCTCTCTCGCTCTCTTTCTCTTATCGTTAACAACAACGAAAGAATTCCGAGTAGAGCTTGCTTTTTGTATCGGTGAATGTTATCGTGACAACCGCGTCGCGACGGTACTTAAATCCCCGACGAGCAAAACCGGCGTTTTCTCGCCGTCACGGCCGTTCGACAACGACGAACGTCCGGTCGATGTCGAGCGCATCGCGACACGTGTCCGCAGCCTCGTCCGCGCGACCATATCGGGCGGATTTCTCGAGGATCGACGTTTATCGGTCCCGAGAGAGAAAGGAAGCGAGAGAGAGAGAGAGAGAGAGAGAGAGAGAGAGAGAGAGAGAGAAAGGAGAGAGAAAGTGGAGGTTCATTAATGGACAATGCATATGTATGTGGCAGTCATGTACTCGATTTATTAAGATATACAGGCCGACAGTTTCACTATCTACAGCTAATCATCGTTTCGTGTGCGACCCGTTCCGAAGTGCGATGCACGCGAGTACATAAAAATCGTTTTGACATAGTGAAATCGTCGGACATGATACATTAATAACTTAACTTAGGATATACCTACGATCGCTGCAGCCTCATTTTCGTATTCTACTGAAACGACGTAATCGCACGAATACCGTCTCGTACCGGTCTCGCGAACAGTTCGTATATAATAATATTCACAACACTCTCTACGTTCGATTTTTTTCTTTTCTTTGTCTTTTTTTCGTGTTTTTTTTTTCCTTTTTTTTAACAAGCGCAGCCTCGAGTCATCCTCGCAAAGACGACGATCCGGACCGATCACAGCACAACGTATCTACAATATTTACAGAATTAACAGGGAAAGGCGCGTGTAACATTTCACATCCGCTCCGCCCGAGGTCGAACGGCAATTGTAGTAATTCATACGGTCAGGTACAACGTAAGAGGAGATCCAGAGTGGCTGAAGCGTCGCGGAGCATCCCCTGTATTATTAGTGTGCCCGTTGTGTGTTGAGAGCGCAAGACGACTCGCGCGTCGTGTGCGTTCGACAAAACGTGAAATAATCAAACAAGATTTATGGCGCGAGTACGAGTCTCGCTTTCGAATATGCCAATCGATTCTCGAGAACAGCGATAATACCGTGCGCCGCTTCGGCGTATGACTGACTTGTAAGTGTATAGCGGGACACACTGCACTTTTCCGGATTGTCACCCTCTCTCTTTCTCCCTGTCTGTCTCTCGCTCACTCTCTCTCTAATTACGGCCGTGCTATCGCGACAGAAACCGTACCGCATCTCGTACCGTCGAAATGTCATAATCGCGCAAACAGAAGCCACGAAGCTCTCTGCGTTACCGTCGTCGATGATTCGAGGCTACTTGATGTCTAGCGTTAATTCCTTCCCCGGGACACACATACACACACGCCAACGCGCGCGCACACACACAAATGCACACACATTGGGCACGCATATATCTCTTACGAATCTCCCGTCGAATCCTTGCTGACGATCACGTCTCGTAAAACGACCGCGCGCTCCGGTTAAATATCCGCACGTCTTACAGATCGAACAGAGCTAATTACAAAGTTACCGAGCGATGCGTCTCGACACAACTACGATCCGCGTACGTGTGTGTATATATATATATCTATATATATATATATATATATATATATGTTTATTTATACTCTTGTTTACCGTTTTATGCGTACGTATATGTATATGCACTGAATACAGTTCCCGTGTCTTCCTCGCGAAACGGAAACGCGTATTATAACGTTGAAACGATTGCGGGGGCGAAAAAGCGTGTCAGAATCCATCGATCGTTTTTCCCCGATGAAAAGGAAACGATTAATTAGCACCTAATTGGTTACCGGAACGGCCCAGCGAATCGTGGCAAAAGTACATAATGTATCTCGCGTTTGCATCGGAAGATTGCCGGTGAAAAATATATCGGGAGAATAGTTGACGTGCTGCCGGAAGTCGCGGAGTAACGTTCCGGGGAGTAACGTCACGCATCGATCAGCGGCGTTTCGCGAACGGGGGCGAGATACTTTTGGCGACCGCCTGTGTTACGCGAGAGAAACGCACGCGCGGAGGTGCCAATCTTCGGGACAATTTCGTTGAATCTAAGCGTCGTGAGGTTCACACGCCGTCGTACCTGTGCCCCAAAGACGTGAAGTATTGTTTCTAATCTAGTCAATCCGCTTCGCTTTCGCTCTCGTAGAAAAGAAAAGGGGCGCACACACCTGGGCTGGGAGTCCGTCTTAGTCCTCGTATGGCGTCCTGCGAGTCCTTCCGCGAAGAAATCGTCGAGTTCACATCCTCGTCACGAGCTACGCGCGTATGTATGTCGAGTCCCCAGAGACAGTAGGATCACGATCAGTCGAAGGATCATCGTGTATAACGAGTCCCTCTCAGCGTATAGAACGCCATGTACATCGTCTCTTCGGTGGTTCCGCGCCGGGAAGAGAGATATCGTCGAGAAGCGCGGTCTCTCGGCCGCGAGAAGCTCGTCCCGCGCGGGCAAACCAAGGCGCGCGATTCACACGAGCGCCGATCAGTCGTGAAAGCCTAAACGTAGCCTCGTACTCACCGCATGTATACTTACACAACATATCGCGTTATATTCATATTTTTTATATTCATATATATATATATATATATATATATGTATATTATATATATATATCTTCTCTTTGCTCTCGCTCTTTCTCTCGCTCTCGCTGTCTTTCTGCCGTTCTCTGTATATAAGTCTAGTTTTGGTATGAAAATAATTTCAAGCGCGGCCCGCTTCGTCGCACTCGTCCGTCACTCTCCCGGAGACGGTGCACCGGAGGTAACCGGCAACCGTGCTTCGCGCACCGGTCGTCTCCGGGTCGGCCAATGGCCAATAAACACTAGAACTGGAAGCCCCGTTCCCGCGACGTGAGAATCACCTTCTGATGGCCGGAAGCAGCAACGACAGGAGACTCAGGGAGAGGAGAAGGACGAGCTGCGCTCGATGGGACACGCCCGGGCTTTGGGCGTCCGTCGGCAGGTCACCCGGTGGCCTCATCGACGCTGGGCCTGGAAACAGACAAAACTACGCTGCGGTTGTTCCACCACGAACAGAATGGGACAATTGCGCGGGCAGGGCGGGGAGGGAGTTCTATTCAGATGTAATTTTCAGTTCGATCGCGACCCTACAAGAGAAAAAAAGAAGGAGTGGGAAAGGGATGGAGAGCGAAGGGCGGAAGCGTGAAACGCTCGTTATGCTCTCGATCATTTACGGGTCCCGACAAGTGGCCAAAGTGGTAATCGTTATAAACTTGACGCGTCCAGAGTTGGTAAATTCTCCTCACATATATGTGCGGTTTAATGGTATAGGTAACGCGGAAACGCGCGCAAATGACCGCGAATTCCAAACGTTCCTGCCTTGTTCTGGTACGCGTCTACATTTTTATTCGTGTCTCATTCTTACTCTCTCGTCTACTGAATTTTAATTAGAATTTGTCTTTGACGCGGCTAATAACTCGGCACAGAGACGAGTGCGCAAAGATACTTAAAATTCTCTCACAATGGCAGCGCATTGTTTTGTACAAAGTGTGCCGTTGTAAAAAAAAGGAGGGAGAGAAAGAGAGAGAGAGAGAAAGGAAATAATAAAGTCTAGGAACGGAGAAACGGATTTTAACAAACGGTACTCGTTTAGTGAACTCGGTCGACGTAATTGCCTTTATCCACATATATCATGAACCTCATTTGCTAGTTACGACAAAGCCATTTTCACCGCATGAGTACATAATGAGTATACGCAAGCGCATAAAGAATGCAAAAACTGTGTTCTCGCGGATGACATTGCGGCGAATAATAATTCCTTGTAAATTCGGCGAATTAATTTCGCGGATAAAGTCGCTGAGTTTCTTTTTCGAGAGTCCGCGAAATATGACGTATCTCGCCGCAGACCGCACAATCGAGATAGACGTTTGATCGATATGGAACGCAATTGGAACCTGTCAATCAATTTCGTTCAAATAGTATGAATTGGCATACTGTTCAATTTTTTTATATAACATTTTAAGTGTGTGGGGAAGAAAGAAATCATTTGTGTAAGTGTCCTATCGGAAATATTATTCGCCAGCCGAACGAGGAAATGACTGTCACTTGACCATGAAAGCGCGTAACCGTTCTATCTTTCAATGTTGCGTGTGTATCTCGGCAACGAAAATATATTTTTACGTAATAAAATCGCGATGGGCAACATCGCTAATAAAACGGATAGCTTATTCATCGTCCTAACATTCTCATTTGGATCCAGCCAATGTGGAGCTGGCTGGCCGCAGGGTAGACGAGCACCGGTATACTGTCCGCATTTTGTATCATTGACCCTGAACACCACCATCGTCGACACCGCGTTCTGGACGAACTTCTTGGTCGTATTTTCGCACAGCGGTCGCCGCGCCACTGCCGTTTGCCAGCAGCGCGACGCCCGGAACAAATAGTCGGCGGCGCTTAAACATACGCGAAAATCGTCAAGCTCGGCGGCTCATTTCCTCAGTGGCTTCGTTATCGGCGTCGTATACGCGCACGCACGTTAACGAGCGGATACGGAAGATAAATACGAGGAGTTGTTGCGGATAATGCGAAACGCGCGAAGGGGATGCCGTCCGCCCCCTCGCGCGCGTCCGTCCTCTGCTCACCCCCGCGCGTCCAGGAATTAAATTCGAGCGAACTCTCGGTTCTACCGGAATTTCTGCGATGTTCAACTCGCGCAAATCCCTTTTTAACGAGATAAAACCCTCGGCGATGAGGAGCGGCGGGCCGGAGAACGCAGGAAGAGTAAATTCATTTGAGATTAAATACATCCGACGTCTGTTAAATCGCCTCTTATCAGCCGTTACCGTCAAAGAAACGCAGGATGAAATGTTACTGGATTAATTGTGGCGCCGCAGTAATTCGCAGATGTGTCTTGCGTGCTTTTTCATTTGTTCGTGTGGCGAGAAGAGCGATGAGACAACGGTGAGATACGTAGCCAAGGGAGGGCTGCTACGCGAGGCGCGTCATGATACATTGAGCTCCCTCGCAGCTTAACAGCTCTTAAATTTCTTTAACCTTAATAAGGTTGTTTAGACGAATTTCTATATCTTGCTGTGCGAAAAAGAATCGTCTTTGACGTTATATCGCGGACAGACTGATTATCTTTGTTTTTCACGAGATATCCTTTCAGATGATCACGACAGTTGACGACGAAAAGACAAACTGTGAATGTGTGGAATCCTGGGCAATGTAAAATGTGACGTGCGAACAAATCGAATAGCGAATTTGTTAAAAAAAAAATGAAAGATGTATTCGTTTTACAGTATATTGGCAAATAAAATACGAGCATCGGCAATTTTAGAAAAAGCTCCGTTTTATCTGATTAAACTCGCATTTCGCGACGGTAACTTTTATTGATCGTTCGAACTTTGATAAATGAATCGAAGTTGAGTCAACATCGCCACCTGTGGCGCTAATGTATAGTCAGCAATGTTATAGAAACGAATATATCAATGACGCTAGACCATATATCAGAATGTACGATTATTGCCGCGATAAAACTTCATGACCTCGATTTACCTTAATGACTTCCACCCACGGCATTATCGAATAATTTAGGATCCGCTTCCGCGTAACAAATTGCACTTATTAACAGCGGTACTATCTGGATGAGGCAGAACTTTTACTCGCTTCATTAATTTCACTTTTAAATTGTTCCGCTAAAAACGCGAAAACTATGTTACACGGATAATTGTTGCGGTAATAATTTCCACTTTACAAATATTAGAGTTAGATTATGTAACACCGAGAGAGAAAGAGAAAGAGATAAAAACGAATCTTGTATCGATCAGTGACTAGAAATTTCACTTTGAACGTTAATTGGTGACTATACCGTCGTTACATCGTATCGCCCAGTGTTGGCGCGTCAAGTCTCCCAGCACACACAATTCGATTTTATAAATCAAATATTTTCTCGGGAATTTTTTCCGATATTTGAGCAAACAGCCGGTGGAACGTTTAGAACGATATTAACGGAATTTGTTCTCCAAAAAGCCGGAATGTAACGACTCGAGAAAATGTCCTTTTTTGCCTTTTTCCTAGCACCGGTGGATGGTCGTCCCAAATGCAGGGCGTTTCTCGGGAGTAGTTCATCGTGCCCCTTGGCTCGCCCGCCAGAAACGGACGTCGAAACCGCACGTCCGTTCGGAAAAAGTTATTCCCACCTACCAGTAAAATCCACTGTACGTGACTTTCCGCATGGCCGGCGACAGACGAGCCATTTTCCAACACTTTAACAGCATCTTTACTGACGCTTCAGTCTGTATATTTTCTTTGCCGCTGATTATATCTCAGAGACGTTGAAAAGTCGCTCGTTAGTACTCGAGAAACTTTTGATCAGTTGCGATGAATGCTAAAAATTTTTCGGTGTTATAATTTTGATTGCTCGACTTTGGCATCGTCGCACTCTTCAAGTGTTAGTCACGAATATATCCTCGACTTTATTAATGGCATTAAAAGACCCGTGCTTCGATTATTATTGGCCTTACCATTCCCTTTACTGATTACAATTGTGCTTATAGCAGCTCACTTCTTTACGGATTCAATTTCAATTTTGTCGAGTGTCACGCGTCTGAAGAAACTGTTGTCTCGTATTAGTTTAATGTACACGCTTAATATCGTGGATGAGAGCTCGAGGTATCACCGGATCTTATTTAGACGGTAGATCGCGGAACGATCATTTGTCAACTGCTTTTTCGACGACCCCGCGCGCGAGAGGCAATTAACCGTGCGCGCGCGAGTATTACTCAAACATCACGTAAATCGCGATTGTGTGCATGGGGCAATACGCTCGAAGCCAATCGATTTTTGAAGAAGGTAGGGAGAAGGACGCGGAGCGAGAAAGAAAATAACGGAGGAGTTTGCCTCTCTCCATTTCCTCTCTTCCACTTCCTGATCCCGGAGGCAGCAGACGGCCGCGGGTCAACGCAGCTCGTTTTTCATTAATTGAAAGTAAACTTCAGGAAGGGAGAGAGAACTGGCCCAACGCTCGGGGGAATCTTTGAGCGAAGTCATTCGAAGTGAGTTTTGAACTTGCATCCTGCCGCCAATCCCCGTCAGCTGGTTTGTATAATATAAGAATTTGCGAAGAACTCGAAGTCGTTAACGCGCGCGCGCGCACGGAACCTCGATGACGCCTGTCGCGATACGGCCGCGATGGGAGACGACGCGATCCGCGCGGACGCGCTCGGGCGTTAAAAACTCTCGCGTGTCTGTCGCCATTCTAAAAATACGTCGAATTCCCGCGGCAAATTCGCCGATGAAAATCCGCAGTGCTTATACCGGGCTCTTTCGTGTTTGTCGACGCGTGAGATACGGCTGGATGCATCGCGGAATACATCAACGATTACCGCGCGCGCGGGGCCGAACTTTGAAATCTCGGGATGGTAAACTTGTACCGAGGGACTTAAACGAAAATGTTACGAAGGACCACGTCTTATAATCCCTCATAGCTTAACCCTGATCAGCCCGAGCAAATTTGTAGTCCAAACGTGGAATACGCTCGTGTGTGAGTTGGTGCACAGATATATGTTTACACGAGCATCAGCGATCAGGATTGCGAGGAAACGGTCACGATTCTTTCCGGGGATATTTTATCGGCGGAATATGCTGGTCTCGGCACGCGTATCGGTAAACAATTTATAAGTTCGAGTGAATTTGAACTAAATTTGCAGTTGTTAGGTTTTTTAATTATTCGGGCTAGTATTGAATAAAAGTTTCAGCTCTACAACTTTTTTGGTCGTCGCATTCGAGACGAGAAGAGAAAAAAGATTGGACGCGATCATTGACTCTCGTTCGTTGAGCTTAAACGAACAGCCGATGCATATTTCTTCCGTCGAATCTCACGACAGTGAAGGGATGACCGCAAAATCCTTCCCGGCCAATAAAAGGGTCGGGGTAACGCGACGAAGTAATTCGCTCGCGGATAAAGTGGATCACCGAGCATTGCCAATTTAGTGGATTCTCTCTCTCCTCCCTTCCCCCCTCGCCCTCGCTCCCTCTTAGAATCTCTTGCCGCCCCGATCGTACACCGTTGACGAGGTTTTAATTACGCTAATTACTCGAACGACATGGCGGTCGGACGGAACGTGTATCGTCGTGGGAAATGCTCGGGCTCTACTCGGAGCGTGTTAAAATAGATATTTACTGACCTGGATTTCGCAATTCCTCGACATCGTAGTCGCTAGGCGGTAGTCGTGATTTCTTGTTACCGTTTCTACCTAAAATGCATTACACAAAGGCGGTTTTACATTGGTGCTCTAAGTACGGTAGGCTGTCGCGCATACGAGGAGCGGTAATGGACGGTCTTACTTAGGAATCGCGAAATAAATTAGTGTCGGACGTGCCCCCTGATCTCGCACGAGGTTACGTTATTCTACCTAATTTGGCATTACCCACACGACTTTTCCGGCGGTAATGCTCTGTCACCGCTCAATTTTCATCATAACTCTTCTAATAACTGTTTTACATTACACGTCGCTTGTCGTGCGAGTGTACTTTAACAACAGGTATAATCGTGATGGAATACGTAGGATATTTTTACGTGATATCAATTACCGTTCTTTTTCATCGTTGACGTTGGTTGGTAATATGGCGGTGGCATCGTAGACGTTGTCGAAGGTGCTGGGATTTCTGCGTCAGAATAAACAAGCGGTGCACTTTAGTATTGACTCGACGCGAACAGGGTATAGCATTGCACTCGGAGTATATATGAGGCAATGTCGACGATAAATCCGTTATTGTTATTCACTTTACTATAGTTTCATATCACTAAAAATCGCGTGCAGAAACGAGATTTTCGCCGGCATTCCGCTGTACTTGGAGATGAGATTTCAACGATGCAACAAAATATCACGCGAAATCGTGATTTCCGTAAAGTTTGCCCGTACGAGATGACTATGTCCAGCGCAAATTTAATGGGCAATTATGGTTAATGCTCGCCGCGGAGAAGTATGCTCGACCTCGCCCGCGTCGCTCGTTAACGACGAGGGCTCAAATGTCTTTAAGTAACTGACTATTGGAAACCAATTATTTCACCATTAGTGTCGCAGACGTTGACTTCGAATAATCGATCTTGAATAAACCGCTACGTTACATTTTGCTCGATACTTTTCAATGTGCGAAGTTAGTCATTTTGCGCTTGGGGAACTGTCGGAAATCTTCGCAGCGAAAATTTTACTTCATCGTGTCGGGGATACATACGCGTGATGCACATTTATTACTGTTGCTAAACGTCTCACCGTCTAGTTTGATGTCGCCATCCGTTCCGCCGAGTGAATTCTGTGCAACGCACTTGTACGAGCCGAAGTCTTTCGGGCTAACGTTCCTTATCTTCAGCATCATGTACTTGTTGTAGCCATTGTCGGTGGATACCGCCTCGTACTTGTCGCCTGTAACCGAATGGTAATTGCCTGTGCCAATAAAACCAGGTTCTCCGTTTTCCGTTTAGATTTGCAATTGTAAAGTTACGCGATCAAGGATATTACCGTCAAACTTATTATCGTTAACGTGTATTTTCTGATATTTGGCACAATTTGTTTATACGCATTTCGAGAACTCGGAATAACGATTTGTCTGTGTACTAGTTTTCGCGATTGCATCATACGTTTGCACCACGGGTTTGAGAAAAAATATGGAAGGGAACATGGTAAAGATTGTGTTTTATCTTTACATATAAAATCGGAAATACGTGGATGCAAAACCTCGTTATACCGTATCAGATATGCAACGCAATTGCAAAGGATAATCGAATTTTTAAAATTACCAGAGACTATCATGTCGCCGTGTTCGGTTGTCCAATAATTGATCGAGTTTGGATAAGCTTCGGTGTGACATTCGAGAGTGACATCTTGTCCAATGTACGCTCCTTCCAATTGGTTTGGTATCGAGAGCATCGGTGGAACTGTAAAATGTATAAAGATAAATTTCACTATGAATTGTGTATATATATGCCATTTGTAAGAATAGCGTGTGAACTAACATGTCGCGTGTATATTTATACGTAAAGACACAAACGTAGTTCAATTAAAATTAACCAACAGAAAGCATCTTTCTGTCAGGGTTTGAGGATTGATTAGGGTAGCGTTATGTATCTATTAAATATCAGTTGGCATACTCTGATTAAAACAGTGGTGCAAGTTCGTACGAATGTGTGTGTTCCAAAAGGCTTTCCAAGTCGGAAACCGTTTTGAAACGTCCGAAAATTTCAATGAAACGTTTGCGCAAAAAGCGCAAGCAACACGCAATCCACGTTGCATGCACCTCAGCATGCTCGTCCTCGCTTTGGGGCTTGTCATGATTTAAAAGCACTGTCTGCAAATATGCAGCTGCATGCGGTAGCATGCAACGTAAGCTGCGTGTCGGCTTTTTCGAGCCATCCTCTACTGACATTTTTGGAAGTGTTAAACGAGAGGGCGAGAGAGAAGCACTACGCCACGAAAGAAGCCTTTTCATTTATTGGTTTAACGAAAAACATAATTATTCTTTTGCATCAAGAAATGTTTTCTTTATTTTTAATATTTATTTCTAAATATCTCAATGTCACGCGTAATTAAGGAAGATATCGTGACACATCTCAGGAGAATTCAATCGCGTCGCTGCATTCCGAAAATATCGATTCGTGAACGTCTTTCTCTCTCTCGTAAGTAATATATCTGCAAAATGAAACTCAACTTTCTGATAAGTGAAAAGTCTTTCTTATGCAGTCCTGTGCCTAATATATGTATGAAAAACCTCCGAGACTTAAAGATGTAGGAATTCGTCGTTAAATTTTCAATTTCTCTCGCGCGAAAAGTTATTAAGAAGTCAACTCGTTATTTTGGTAGTCGGATTTGATCTTTACCAAGTCTAAGTAGCACCTCTTTAAAGAGAAAGGAGCGTTTTATATAAAGGCTCTCTTTTTTGGAATTGATATTGGTACATCGTAGATACGTGGCCGTATCGTTCTCCGTCGATCGATATAGAGGTAGCCCGATGCATCGATGGTATCATGTCATAGTTTCGTCTTTTACGTACGGGCGTAAATCACGATTTACTAGCAGCGGCTGCACTTCCGACAGAGCTACGGAGGGTAGTTTTTCCACCTATCTCCTTTCCTCAATCATCCCGCCGAGCTATCGATAAATCTAAGGGCGCGAGCAACGCTTGGATTCCGATTGCACATCATTCGTGATACGTACGCGCTACAGGTACAATTTTTACTCCTCAAATCTCACCGACACTGGCCTGTCTAAAAATTCCGTTCGCAGAACTAACTTTGAAAATTCGCGCGGACAGAATATCGAGAGCGCCAACTTGATTGTTCGTTCTAATTGTTATTAAAAATTCACACACTCGTCTCGGACATAATAGCTCGCGTAATGTTAGTCGTCAGCTCACTGTTTGCTGCTGAATATTCCTCCAAAAATGAGATCTCGAGTTTACTGAGTCTCGTCCTCTCGCGATTAAACAAACATTGCCGGGATAAGCGGCCCTCGAAAATATGGATTGCGCTGTAATCGCGCACAGCTCGTGATAATGACGGCATCCGAGATGTGCTGAAGATAAAGTCACCCTGAAAAAGTTGTTGGGCGATGTGTCTTTATGATACACGACGGGAATTAATTCACGCCGCGCAGGTAGTAATATCCGCGCGTTTATCATGCGCCGCGCACCGTCATTGGATCAACTTCCAAGAGAGAATACATAACACACAACCTGCTTGCGCCATTCGCACGAGGAGCGCGAAGAGAAACTTGTAATGTCGCGCGTGAGCATGGCTGATCGGAAAGTTGCCGCGGGAATGTTCGCGATTCGTGACCCTCGTACGAAATCGCCATTCGCGGAAGGCGACGCCAATTTCTCGGACGATTATTAATATTTGTGCTCGGCGGCCCCGGGGCGGGGAGGCGAGACGCGCAGGAACTAATGTGCCAGAAAAGACGGCGCGGAAACGCGTTTCGCGCCCCAAACCGAGTTGAAACCACAGGAGCTGCCGGTGGATAAGGTGGGTGGTTGAAATGGCTGCGCGGGGATGAACGGACGTATATCGACCATATCTGGGTCAAGTAGCTGCCCATAAATCGGTGGCTAAATGAGACGTTGAAAACCGACCTAATGCATGACGCACCGCAGGGGATGCTGCTACCCGATGAGGAACAACCGCGACAACGTATATTCCCAAGTGCAGCCGGTGCTTCCGCTCTTTTATACGGAAATAAATATATCTTCATCTCACGGGGATTACTGCCTCTCGAATTTAACGCAACGTAAAATATATATATCGCGATATAAATTATCTCGTGTAATGTATCAGCGCGCGATTCTCGTCGTAAATCCTCTCTCATCCTCGTTATGTTAGTCGAGTCGTCGTATTTCACGGGCGAATATATCAGCGATCGCGGTATCAATGTACATTTTTGGCCGAAAAGCTTCTTCAAATGATGCATTATCGTGAAGCACACTTCCGTGATGCTTCCGCCGAATTCGCGCGCGCGATAAAACGTGGCGGTGCTACAAAGCGTTTATAGCGCCTGTTAAGAACTCGCCGTAACACGCAGTTGGCGTGCCGTTGAGAGTCCAATAAAAAGCAGATCATCAGTAGCGATATTAGCGTGGCCCATGTATCAAGGAAAACTAGTGGCACTATTTCATTCCTAACGTTTATGAACCACGTCGAGCTCATTAAAAGTATAATATTCCCCCGCATTGTGTTTTACCGCCGCTTCTCCAGGCGACCGGCATTTACCGAGTTATGCGTGCCTTGCAATCGGTGAGGTATGATAAAAACGAGTTCCTCTCCATCATGCTTTCTTATCATCTTTTCTCGTACAGTAAAATACGCGAGTATTCTTGCGCGACAATAGTCGTTTCACTCTGAGTTTTATCCTGCCCTTATCATAATACCGAAGTGCACAGTATTACGATGACATTGTGGTTTTCGCTAATGGCGCGCATACACACACGGGGAGGAATCGATAATGTTAACGTCCAAACCGATGTTCAATAAAGTGGTATTGATGTAAAATCAATATATTCCGCGATATAATCCGCGATATGTATATATTTTCTTGAGATATTCTCACGGCAAAAGCGCACTGAACTAAAAGAATAAAAGCACTTTCAATTTATTTTACTTGACAATTAATTTATTGTGTAGTGCACGATATATTGTTTCGAAGAAACGCGATAAATTGTAATATCAAAAAGAGTTGCAATTATATGCCCAGATTCAAAAAGGTTAGATATTTGCAAGGATTTTAAAATCGATTAAACGAGTTTAAATTGATACTGAATATTCTCTATAAATAACATTTAAAGTACAGAGTCACTCATATGCGAACGTTTTAATCTATGTTCGATTATCCGAAACGATCCTTCGAACTTTCGATTGGTTCAGTTTCGATATCCGCCTGCGCGCCCTGGAAAATAATTCCCAGAAACTTTTTCAATCAGAGAAATCAATATTAAAATCGCTGGCTTCGCGAACTATTGGTTTTATTTGAATTCGTTAGGTTAATGGACGCGGAGCCACCACTTTACGAATATTTTGAAATGCTTTTTGAACCGTATTCATAAATAAACATTAAAATATTGGGACAAGGCACTCTTCGATGTTATTTGCTATTTTGACGTATTAGAAATTCCATCGTCCACACACAGAATGTTTCTTCGTTAATCGTGTGCCACATTCGTGTCGGCTGGGCTCTGTACGAATGAGACAAATTTTCGCAAACATTTTAAACGCGCGATGAAAATTACCCAACAATATAAGATATAACGCGAAAATATTAGCAACTCACATTGAACGCGCAGCAAGACTCTCTTGCTAACCGACGGTGGAACGCCGTTCGAAGCAATACACAAATAAGCCCCCATATGAAGACGACTGATCTTCACGATATGCAGCACTTCGCCATCCACGACGTTCACTGAAACATAAAATATATTCACATATCAGCATGAGCATATTGTTTCTTTTCTTTTTTGTTCAAATATTAGCAAAACACATTTGTTATGCAGTTTCAACAATTCTATTTTTGCGAGTTTCTACTGTAAGATAAAATATTTACAGCGAGATAAATATTTGCTACGTGAAAATCAACACGCGCTTGCGTTACGGACTTCGCCGTGGAATCTACAGGCAATTGATTAATAATCGAATTTTCAATTAAATGATACTTTTTAATTAAAGCGTGTTGTGTGTTGTAAATAACAGGTCGCTGAAAAATTCTTCCATCATATTCCGCGCGACGTAATTATTCTAGAATATGTAATATAATAATAATACAGTTTGGCAAACGCGCAACTGGTCGCAGTTGTAATTCTTCTCACGAATTAATAAGCGCAGCGCCGCGTTAATATCGGCGTTATTTCGAAACGTGCGGATATCGATAATGTCGACAAAGAAAGCAGGATGCGACGGAGCACCAGGCGCAGCTGAAAGCGCGATGCGCATATGCGTCGAAACTTTTATTGCATGTCGTGTGACAAAGAGCACTTTGCGCCTTCCTAGAGGGCTATTTGCATCTACGCTGCATTCATTTCTGGTGTGTTGGTTGATATGACTGGCGCAGATCGCATAAAGCAGATAGGGATAGATTAAACTCGGCCAAAGGTACAAAGTAAAGGCGAATTATGCCGATCACTTTGTCACAAGAGCTGCTTAGACATTAAAGATAGCTGCATGCTAATATTCGCTGGATAATGTATGGACACAATTATGCCGACATTATTCGTTTGGATTCGGGCAGATCTCGTAATATCCCGCTTGTAGACGGAGGGGGAGGCAAAAATGCGAATTATGCGTTACTTGATGCATATGCGCGGCTTTCTGTGCGGGACGTCTTCCGAAGAGATATCGCGTCTACGAATATTTACTGAAACAACGTCAACATCATTGCACCCTGCCGCATGAATGTTGACGAATTATTTTACACTGATGTTTGAGGGGAAAAGCCGCCGTTCCGCTTATTTTCATAATTCACGTCATAAACGACAATAAACGTGCGCAAGCGAAACGTACATTACATCCTGACATGCTTATCCCTATTTCGAGAGCGATTACATACAGGTAACGCTTTGCCGACTGTGGCCAGAGTAAAGCAGATCGTCATATTAGCGGAGAAGCTACGGTATTTGATGGAATGATCTATGGGGATCCCGTTGTCGCCACTTAATGGATTACATGTGCCATGTATGTGTTTCGCCTGGAATCACCTGCGATATGTTCAGCGAGCGAAAGAGAGTACCTCTCGCATATTTTACTTACGTCGACCGGACCACCTTTTATTACGCGTGAAATTGGAGGAAGAGAATGAAAAAGTAGGATGTAATGTGAATCGAGCTCTATACACTTTATGTCGCACGTACAATTTGCTTAATAAATTACTCATGTGATGTAATTGGTTGAAACTTAAAACTTTTATTGAATCGCGCGGCAAGATTAATTTAACGGTTTTGCGAAAAGTTAACGAAAGCGAATTGCTTTCACGGTCAGTAGGTGAATTGTCGTGTTATATTTATTTGGATTAGAAAATGATAAAATTTTCATCTCGTTTATAACTTATCATTTAAAACTTTTAAATCTTGAAAATAAAAGTATATGAATATCAAAACAAAAGTATATGAATATCAAAACAAAAAAACATGTCGCGAATGATTAACGAAGCAATTACATCTGAAATACATTTTCTTTAATTTTGTATCGACAAAGTAGCGACTATTTTATCGACAAAGTAGCAACTATCTTATTGCGTAGCTTTATAGCACGACACGTATATGTATATTCTAAAGGGGGCAATTCACAAAATAATGCAGGTTGGCGTGGCTTTTCTCATCGCCTCTCAGTTTAAACTGATACCCGACATTTCCAGAAAATGCAAAGGAACGGTGCGGGGTATAGCGCGGAGGAAAACCTATTTAAAGCTTTTTTTTTTGCAATAAAGTTGAAAGCATCGTGAGGAACTTTACGTCCATTTGACCTACCTGTATAGGAGCAATAAGATGTTACAAGAGCATAAAGTGTTACAAGTCGCGTGATGCTCTTAAACGCACTTTCTGTTCTCTAAGAGTGCTTTACGCTATTTTCTCTCTCCTTTATGATTTTTCGTTTTTACTCACATTCGAGCAATTACGTATGTTGTATATAAAAGTATGTCACTGATGTACTTATATATCACGACACGCTATAGCGCAATGAAATACGTACCAACGATAAATAATATTAAATTTTGGATATCCGATTTAAACAACGCGCTAAATACTTATCGCGATAAGTATCTTTCGCGCGTGTATCGCCGATTATCTCGTCATCACGGATTTTCGCGGATATCCCGACCTCATTCGCGCATCGAGATCCACGCGTCGGATGAGACTAAAGCTGCTGCGAGTCATTAAATTTTGCCAGCGGCGCGGCTGAAGATTTTGACGTTGAAAGAAAACGCAACGTTACATAGACGTGACGTGGCAATGAAAGCGATGAAAGGGATAAAGTTGTTACCCGACCAACAGTGGGACGTGAAGAGAGGATGCTGAATCCCTGGTAGCCAACCCCGTGCTACAAGCTACGCGGCAAACCTATCTATTGTTCCATAAACAATGCAGAGTGCCGGGAGATTCTGCCGGCGGGTCGCACTTTCAGGGGGTTTTAATCAAGTAGTCCCGCAGGCCCTGGCCGGAACTACCCGCTTACCGGTTTAGCGGGAACCTTTAAAACTTTCGGCTTAATGGGAAACCGCAATATGGCCCGGCCGGACAGAATTTCACGGCGGACGCAGGCAGGCGCGAACAAAGGGAGAGAACGCGGGAACAATTATTATTTTCGGGCGCGTTCGAATTTTTATCCGTTCTCTGTGCGATCACGGGAGCTGAGGCGATATGGTGGTGAAGTTCGTCGTTATTGCACGCCGAGGGGCGAAATCGGTGTCGATTGAGATTAGGAATCATTATCGTCACGCGCGAATTCCCGCGCCTTGTCGCATTACGTTCTGAACGATGCCGTTAATGGCGTTCCCGTGGGGCTTCTCGATCTTTTCCGCGCTCTCCGCTTTATTCGCTCTTCCGTGCGCCGTGTTTTTTTTTCATTTTCTCTTTCAGATTGTTTATTACATAAAATATTACGCCCGCGCGTCGCCTCGATCACGGTTGCATCTCGCTTATTTACGAACGCCCATTCGCAACGCGCATGGCGGAACGAGACGCGCTCAAAATGCGTAGATCGCCAGGAAAAACAGCACGCGTGATAACGCGCGTACGCGAGCGACGGGAATGTCAAGCCTTTCGTGTGCTCGCTCGGTAAAGAGCGCACTATTTAAATCTCCGTCGAGTTTGTAATTTAAATTACAAATACGTATCGTGCGGACTGCATCTATTGCAGTTGAATTTTGAAAAAGGTGTTCGAATTTCAAGAATTTTTCATTACAAAGACAGAGAGATAGATAAGACATTAATAAGTATTATTTCGCGCATAGTTCGCATTGAAAAACAGAAAAATAAACGATTATGGTGCAGCGAACAGAGACCATCTGTCTAATGCGAGATGCAAAGAAAGACGCATCTCACGGGCAGATATGTATCATATAAGTATTACATATCGAAGTTGTAGACGTGCACATGACGTACTACGTGATATTGCCTGCGTCGACCTAGAAAGATCGGCGTCCACGCTATAACGTTATTAAACTTCAGCAAAATTGGCTTCCCGATCGTCGGACTTGATAAAGTTCCGACGCGTTGCTGTCGGAAACGTTACGAAATTTTTCACGGGACATTACGCGTCTGCGAATGACGTGGAAATCTTTCGTGTCTCTCATCCGGCGCTTTAAACAGCGAACGTGTCGAGCAACGGCATGCGCGGGCGGTCTCCCGCGCGGAAAAGAACTCCGAAATAAATTAGCGTTCATTCACGTCGATGCCCGGGCGTGCTTTGCATAACGTTCCCCGCGGTATCCTCGGCGGCGTAAAAATAAGCGAACAGCTTACTCGAAGACGAAGTGGAGGGTTGGCCACCTATTTGGGAATTAGTACGTGATGTATTCCGGCCCATAAGCGAAGGATGGCTCGCCGATATTTCATCCCGTCCCCTTTCCTCGTAGCCTTAAGTGCCCTTTTTCGCGTTATTACCGGGAGATAACCCGGGTACATTCATTCCCGGACGAAATCCTCGGCCAACGATTATTGCTGCTAATGTATCCGCGAATGTCGGGCCGGACGTACGTAAGTGATTTTTACGTATTTATTTGCGGCGCAGAAATGTTTTCGTGTCAACATGCCAAATAGCATACTTAAGTGAGAAAGCAAATACGATGTTAATCGATATTTTTATCACTTCCACTTGCAACTCCCGCGTCGCGAAAAATCTATAACAGGACGTAGCTTTCATTATACACATACGCATACGATCTCTCTCTCTCTCTCTCTTTATTTGTTTTCACACGTAAAATGCAACAAGGATTGTCGGTCCATTCCATCAGATTGTCCAATATTATCAAACGCAAACAGTTGAATAATACAGATATTATCACGTTTGTTTGCAATGCAATTGGCGGTATACACGCGCGCAAATTGTATAAATATCCGACTCGTTTCCCGACGCGCGCACTCGAAAGTAGACACGAATAATCGTTGGTAGGACGTTGTGGCACGCGTTGACTGCGGTCAAGAACTAAGGTCGCAAAAGACGAGGAACGAAATCGCTTGTTATCGCTCATTCAGATTTAGGAGCATCGAATATCGAGGATTGATTGTCGTGGATGTTTGACGTCATAAGGTTTGAAAGACAAATTACGTTTGCGGCGTGGCATCGCGTAAAGCGGATGAAAGACGGGGCTATTATATTCTAGTTCCCCGCGAGAAATTTCTCAGATAATATTGACTCCGTGCTGAACGCTGACTTTACCAGCGGTTTGGAGGGCACAAAGGAACCTCAAAC